GAAGTGTCCACGTTGGATATTCAGATTAAGCGATCGAGTATGGGTATCCAATTCTTAAATTCCCAGCTCTGGATTCTTAATGATTCATAACAGAACCCTTTAAACTTTCACGTTACAAACTCGTACTTAAAATGACGTGTCATTTAAAATAACGGTAACAGTCCCTTTAATGAAGTCTTTGTGTAGTTTGCAGAGTGGAGACCAAGGGTTTGTCCGTGTAATTTTTAATATTCAAAAATCTATATTTCCAGGATAAAAGGTTTCTAGCTTCGCCAATATTAAATATTTAATTTAACCAATACTGGGGAGAAAATTGCTTTGGTCCATTATCAATCCTTTTAAAATTAATATTTGATATGCTTTGATGTTGATGAACATAATATGACGTCAAATGAAGAAAATCCTTTGTCCGCTTTCAGCTAAATGTTTAATAATTACTGTTCAAAGGAAACGTTTGCGAAAAATATTATTGTGTAGAAATTTGTTAGAATTAGATAAAATACGGAGAAAAAAATACTTCTTTTATTCAAATAACAATATATATCCAATTTTACTGACAAGTTTTTTTTTAATAAATCATACTTAGAACTATTAATAATAACATACTTTAAGATGCGACTGTTCCGATTTTCAATAAGATCAAGATTAATTGTTGATGAAAAAGAACAAGAATTAAAAAAAAAATATTTATAAATCTAATTTGTGTTATTTTTAGATAGATCTGTTCTTGACAACAGTTTCTGGACTTCAGAGATTAATGGCGTCAGAACTCCTTCTAATGGTTGGAATTATACCTATTGCAGCAACTGCTTTAACTCCAGGCCCATGGATTAGATATATCTCGCTGAAAATAAATAATTTTTGGGTGAAAGTATAAGAGAGGGTAAAATAGCAAATTCAGTGGGGGGGGTAGTTATATGTACCTCCCGGCCTGCCCTTATCTAAGTTTGACCGGAAAGCTGGTGTTCAGGTGGGAACTCCTTAAGCCGGGAGTTTAGTGAACTACTGAAAAAGCACAGTAGACCAATATCTGCAATACAGGGGTGTAAACATTTATTTATAAAGTTTCTCTAACTCATGGTGGTTTCAATGTTTTAATTTTTTAATCTGAACTAAGATCATACATTTCTTTGTTATCTATGTTTCCATCTGTATCCAGATTATCAACTCTATCTCTGCCAATGACTCTGTATCTGGAGATGAGATTAGTAGAGCTAGTTCAGGTAAAACAAAACATGAAAAGCAACTGAATATTCGCTCCCTTTTTATGAATTAAAGAGTTTTCCAACGAAACTACCTTTTATTAAGAATATGAATTGACGATCCCGATTTCTCTTTCAAATAGATTTACTACAAAGCAAAAGGTCCTACTCCTATCCTGATTTCTCTTTCAAATAGATTTACTACAAAACAAAAGCTCCTACTCCAATCCTGATTTCTCTTTCAAATAGATTTACTGCAAAACAATAATAACGATAACAAGATTATATTAATAATAATAAGACGATATTAATGATAATAAGACTATTTTAATGATAATAAGACGATATTAATGATAATAAGATGGTATGAATGATAATAAGACGATATTTATGATAATAAAGACTAAATTAATGATGGTTAAGATTATTTTAAATGGTTAAGATGATATAAATGACAATAAGAATATATTAATGACTATATTAATGATAATTAAGACGATAATAATGATACCTAAAACTATATTAATGATACTTAAGACCAATTAATAAGACGATATTAATGATAATAAGACCATTCTAATATTAATGATAATCAGATGATATTAATGATAATTAAGATGATACTAATGATTATTAAGATGATATGAGTTCTATTACCCATCTACCCGATGATGTTAACAACTCTCTTATCCTCATCTCGGAGTGGCTCTGCAATAATGACAAGGTGGGTTAGGGCGGGGAAGGGGGGGGGGTGATGGCAATACGAAGGTAAAGTGGCGAAATGTGCTGGAATTGAAAAAAAATTAAGACTGTGTAGTGTGTATTACCATTTTTCTTAAACTTAATATTAAGAATAGTGTTAGAGGTTATTTGTATTTTAAACAATGTACAATTGATCGATTGATTAATTAATTGATTGATCAGTTGATTGATTGATTGATTGCTTGATACAGAAATAATGGAAATTACGGTTTTTTTTTCGTTTCCAGTTGACTTGACTTATTGCTGTGGGAAGCGAACAAATTATATGCCATTTTAATTGTTGATTGCTAGGGAAATCATAATTTTCAAAACTGGTTTGATGAATGGATTGAGTGATCGATGAATAATTGATTAATTGATTAGGGTGAGTATATGAACGTATATGCAAGTATCCGAGGAAATATAATGAGGAAAAGTCTAGAACAGCTTCGTGATCATCAGGTTAGAAAATAGGATTCAACAAATATGAGGGCATTACGAAGGAATTGATTATTCTTACTTTCTAACCCTCATAATCTCAGTAACCTTGCAAAGTTCAAACTATGAACTCAAGTAGATCAGATATTCAAGCTTTGAAATTTAATCAGGTTGTAAAGATATGGGGAATTGAAACTTGTAAGGCAAGGAATCAATTATTTGATTTGATGCTAGTGGCATAATTATTATCTTTTAAATTGCATCAATGAATCATGTAAACAAAAATAATTGAGAAAGTCAGGGGAAGTTTGTTTCCATATTGAATAATGTTCAGCAGGGAAGGTTTGTTTCTATATTGAATAATGTTTAAGTAAACTTTTAGCGTGGAAAGTCAAGGGAGACATGTTCTAAAATTGAAAAATATTTAAGAGAACTTGTAGCGGGGAAAGTCAGGGGCGGCATTCTCCAAATCAAACAAGAAAATTTGCATCTCCAGCAGCAGCAACTGCTTTAACTCCAGGTACAAAACGTGTGAAATAATGTGATGTTTTTCATTTCTCATCCTATTCTTTTTCACGAGGGTTTAAATAATTAATGTTAGAAATTGATTAAAAGGGCGTTGAACTTATTTTTTGGAAAAAATATTTCTTTATTGTAGAAGTTGTTACACCAAACTCCCGAAAAATAACCTCCAAGAGGCTTCAGTCTGCGTTCAACAAGAAGATGACCAGCATGTCTAGCAAGCTGGAGGCTAGAACCGGTTATGCAATTCATGTACCGGGAAGGAGGTCTTTAGGTAAACTCCTCCATAGCCCTTCCTTCCTTCACCTATTGCTCGTTTTTATCAAAAAAAATAATTAAGAAAAGTTAAGGTGTTTTTTGTTGTTGAAAATTCCTTGAAAAATCAAGTTCCGGATGATTTTTATTCAATGAAAGAACAACACGTATTTTGTTTTTACTTGGTTCTTTTCTAAGGATTCCTTGTTTTTAACTAATGTCAAATAATAGGAAAGAATTTATAATAACAACATTTTTTCTTCTGATTTATCAGAATTAAACACCCTTGAACCTAGAGAAACGACAATATTTTCCACATAAATGATAAGATAAAGGGTTGAAGTTGTTCAAGGGTACCGTCGTGAATAGGGCATTTCCATCTGTTCATAACGACTCACTTGAAATCACGTTTACAGTCCCTTTAAATTTAACGATATTCTTTTTTACTAGCTCCCCCTGGCATGGATGAATCTGCTGGAGATTTTGAGGTAAAGGGGAGGGTACACATTTCCCATTTGAATACATTTTGGACTCCTCTCTTTTCATTTTTTTCCACATTTTTCCATGTTTTTTAAAGCCTTTTCACATACCAGCTAGGTGGGAAAATATGATAAAATAAGGGGAAAATAGGGGGAAAAAGGATCTGAAAAACCTTAAACTTCGTTCTGATGTTAGTAATGAGATTCTTGACTAACAAGCAGGTGTTTAAAGCACCTAGCTGGTATTTGACTCAGACGTTTTGGTGAAAAAGCTTTAAAAACATGGAAAAATGTGGAAAAAGGGGAAAAAATATTTTTTTCCACTTTTTTATTTCTGTTTACTTAAAACAAACACAAATGATACCCATATGCAAAATATCAGTCAGATTCTTAGAAAAATGAATCCATGAATCCAGAAAATCTGAAAATATTATCAAAGTGGGAAAATATGATTAAATAAGGGGAAAATAGGGGGAAAAAGGATCTGAAAAACCTTAAACTTCGTTCTGATGTTAGTAATGAGATTCTTGACTAACAAGCAGGTGTTTAAAGCACCTAGCTGGTATTTGACTCAGACTTTTTGGTGAAAAAGCTTTAAAAAACATGGAAAAATGTGGGAAAAGGGGGAAAAAATATTTTTTTTCCACTTTTTTATTTTAATTTTACTTAAAATAAACACAAATTATGCCCATATGCAACATTTCATTCAGATTCCTGAAAAAATGAAGACAGGAGTTCAAAATGTATTCAAATGGGAAATGGGTACCCTCCCCTTTAATATAAATACAAGAAATTGTTTATTTACTTCAGAGGCTATAAAAGTTATATCTTGATCCGAAACAGAAATGCTAACAGCAAAATTCTATGTCATAAAACTCTTCGCTCATATATATACGTTTTAACTATAGCGTGGATGATATAGGCTACTTTTTAAAATTCCACAGGCAACCCCGGACATTGGCTGAAATCATGATATAATACTAATGAAATGATTAAAAATGATTTTTCAAGACAATTGTACACCCCTGGGGTATAAATGTCTATCCCCCCCCCCCCCC